TTTTAGAACTCTTTATAATTCTATAATTACTGACCAGGTAATTTTTGAAACCCACCGCAAATACAGAGTTGTAACTAATTTGTTCATTCAATTAATGAGGCACTGATGTTTAAACTATACAATTAGATACGCCTGACTTTGATATATACATTATTTCTCAACAAGTATGACAGAATTAAAACATTTTGGAGGAGGGAAAAATCTTAACAGACTTGAAATACTACCTCATATGTAGTTAATACCTTCTATGTCTTTTCAACTTAGGCAAAACGTCCATTGAAGGGTAAAAAAAGAAATCTAAGATACAAGTTTATTACAACGGGCAATAATTATTTAAAAAACAAGAAGCCAGATAACAGGGCTTTAGCATTTATCACCCATTTGGCATATAATACCTCAGGGTCCACAGAACTCATCTTCAAAATTAAATCAATTATTAGACTCCAACTACATGACAGCCATCAGAAAAAAGACACATGTAATCAATCTTTTATAAAATTAGCTACATAGTCTAATATCCAACAAGTACCAGCTTCATGGAATTTTCTTGAGGGTTATTTAATATTTAAGGGACATAAGATTCATTAAAGATTATTTTTAAACCTTTATAAATCTTACCTCATGCTCAGTGAAAACAATCTTATTTACTTTTTGAAGAGACTATATGTTCCACATCAAATAGGTTCATTTCACTTTTTCTTGGGAAATGCCATGAGCTCTGGTCATCACTTAAAAGGAATTATGCAGATTCTGATATTTAACTATGCATATGCTCTGAAAATACACAGCTGCCATTTTATATGTGGATACACATCCACATCCACAGAACAACTCACTTCTATTTCCAGCACAGCTGTTACAGCATTCAGCTTTACGACCTGCTTAAACTAGCTTCATTTATCATGCACAGGCTGGGCATGGTGGCTCACACCTGTAATCTCAGCACTTCGGGAAGCTGAGGCAGGAGGATCCTTAGCGCTTAGGAGTTCAAGGCCAGCCTCGGGAACATGGCGAAACCCTGTCTCTACAAAAAATACAAAAATTAGCCAGGCATGGTGGCACATGCCCCTATGTACCAGCTACTCTGGAGGCTCAGGTGGGAGGACTGCTTGAGCCGGGGAGGTCGAGGCTACAGAGAGCCAAGATCATACCACTGCACTCCAGCCTGGGTAACAGAGTGAGACTCTGCTTAAAAATAAAAAATAAAAAAGTGTGTGCATTGATTTCCCTACATAAACTGCTTCTCTAAAGAGAGGAGGTAGCTCTGTAAATGACTCTTGGCCTGTGTTAGTAGAGACAGATACTCAGTGCTGCTATTGCACATTTGGATGAAATTAACTGCAGCTCACTGAAAAGCAAATATTGAGGAAGGTGAGGGTGTATCAATCAGACCTTAACCAGGATGCGAGGAAATGGGATGGCTCGGCCAGGTTTCTAGAACGGGGATGCTAGAAGCAGCCTGTGGCAGGCTGAAAAAATGACCCACTGAAAGGAGAGCCACATCCCAATTCCTGGAACTTGTGAATGTTGTCTTGCGCGGAAAAGTCTTTGGAGATGTGATTAGGTTAAGGGTTTGGAGATGGCAGATTATTCTGAGTTATCCAGGTGCGTGCTAAATGAGATCACATGTACTCTTACAGGCAGAGGAAGACTTAACAGAAACAGAGGAGAAGAAAAGAGCAGAGAGATTTGAAGATGCTGGTATTGAAGCTGAAGTGATGTGGCTACAAGCAAAACAGTGCTGGCATCCACCTGAGGCTGGGAGAGATGAGGAACAGATTTCTTCCTAGAGCCTCTAGAGGGAGCTCAGCCCTGCCAATACCTCAATTTCACCCAGGCAATAAGGAATACGGACTTCTGAGCTCTAACACTGTATTCTCTACATTCTCTCCAGAACTGTGACAAAATACATTTCTGTTGGGTTAAATCACTGGCTTTGCCAGGCATGGTGGTGTATGCCTGTAGTCCAAACTACTCAGGAGGCTGAGGTGGCAGAATGCGGTGAACCCAGGGCTTAGACGTCGGCCTGGGCAACAGAGAGAGACTCATCTCTACAGAGAGAAAAAAAAAAAAAAGCACCAGCTTTGTGTGTGGCGATTTGTTAGTCAAAGGAAACTAACATAGAGCCCATTAGAAGCATGCCTCCACCGTGCTAACCTGCTCTGTGGATGGCAGTCATCACAATATGAAAAGAAAAACAACGGTGAAGAGAAATTGAGCTCATTCCAAATTAAAGGAACTGAACTCAAGTCATAGGACAGTGCTAGAGTTTATTACAAACTTATTTATTTATTTATTTTTTTTGAGACGGAGTTTCGCTCTTGTTACCCAGGCTGGAGTGCAATGGCGTGATCTCGGCTCACCGCAACCTCCGCCTCCTGGGTTCAGGCAATTCTCCTGCCTCAGCCTCCTGAGTAGCTGGGATTACAGGCATGCACCGCCATGCCCAGCTAATTTTTTGTATTTTTAGTACAGACGGGGTTTCACCATGTTGACCAGGATGGTCTCAATCTCTTGACCTCGTGATCCGCCTCGGCCTCCCAAAGTGCTGGGATTACAGGCGTGAGCTACCATGCCCAGCCTACAAACTTATTTTTTATTTTTGTTGTTGTTGTTTTGAGAGAAGGTTTCGCTCTTCCTGCCCAGGTTGGAGAGCAATGGTGCAATCTCAGCTCACTGAAACCTCTGCCTCCCAGGCTCAAGCAGTTCTCCTGCCTCAGCTTCCCAAGTAGCTGGAACTACAGGTGCCCACCACCACACCCAGCTAATTTTTGTATATTTAGTAGAGATGAGGTTTCACCAAGTTGACCAGGCTGGTCTTGAACTCCTGACCTCAGGTGATCTGCCTGACTCGGCTTCCCAAAGTACTGGGATTACAGGCGTGAGCCACCGCACCTGGCCTACAAGCTTATTTTTAATCCATTCTCCCAATACGGAACTGAGAGTTGTTACTGAATTTGTAGGGTCTGATGACAGACTAGGTGGCCACATGGTATTACCTCAAATTTAGCAGAGGGGTAAAAAAGATTGAGAATACTGACATTTATTCCCACTCAGGTGCAGTTACCAAGTCAAAAAATTAATTGCTGTCTTTTTCTTTCGACTTATTATTCTTCCCATCTTGTGCATTAAAATGATTCAAAAATGCTGAGGGAACATCTGCTCACAACAGGATAGCAGGAAAACAGACAATATGCTTTCCAATAAGCCTGACGGCAGAATGCTCTTTCGGTAGCAGGCACTATGAACAGTGTCCATAAATCTAGGCCTGAAAATATTCCCTGAAGACTTCTGAAATTGAATAAAACTGCAAAATTATACACAAGAGTTGCCACAAAATATTCAGTTCTCAGATGCTTCACATTTTTCACTTGAATAAAAGTCATTTTCTAGGAACAAAACTACTACCTAAATAAAGTATAATAACATAATTGTCACCTATAATTACCAATTGTCTGGGGATGGCTTCTTTTCAATGTTAACGTCTCAGTCACCAGCATTAATCAATAGGACTCTAGCCACCATTTCAAGTAAACATCCTGGGCACTGTGATCTTATTTCATTTTATTCCTTCATATTTTTATAAAATCCAGTATCCCCCACCTTAAACAGATTATTGATCTACTGCTACCCCCAAAAGATCACTTTTAATATCTATTTGCAAAAAAACATCCTAGCAGTGGGCAAATTGCCTGTGTTCGTTGGTGTTCACTGTTTTCTCTCCCTAAACCTTTTAGTCTTTTTTGCCACTGAAAGTAAAAACAAAAAACAAAACAAACTCTAGCACAGCAACAGCTGAGAAACAGAGCAGAGATATGTACTTTGTATAGATACCTATTAATTAGCAGTCATATTGCTGTGTGGAATATGAAGTTGAACCATGTACAATTTCTAATATTCAACTATTTTTGATCCATAGAAAGAGCAATCTCCCATCTATAGAAAAAGTAATCTACCCAATATTACAAACGAACCCTAGTGATAATTTCTGAGAATGATTTTAAGTTTCAGGTTTTCCACACAAACGGAGTCTTTATCAGATCTACCGACAAGCAGCACTTGGATCTATTCTCCCTTATCCTCTGATCAAGGGTTATTTATCGCCTACGGAGGAGATTTTTAAGGATAAAAATGGACAAAAGGGTGAGCAGGAAGGAAACGGAAATAAGATGGCAAGGACAACATAGCAACTGGACCACGCACCCTTATTAAAGAAGGGCAGTTAGCTTATCTGAAGTGCTTCCTTTTCCTCAGACACACTCAATGAGCTCGTAACACAGTCTTAAGAGCAATTATTGAAATGTTCTTCTTCAAAAGTAAATAGGTTGACAGCTATGACAATAATCTAGCATTAAGAACATTTTTCTCATTCATCTTTATCATTTTCTATTTCCTTACCCAGTTCGAAATGCAAGATAAAATAAAAATACCTCAGCAATAAATGAGTGAATAAAAAGTGTTGAATTTTAAAAGTCCATATTAGTGATGATAAATATGGCAACTTTTAGAAGCCAGATATACAGAACAGGAGAGAGGGGTACAGAATTTATAGAATCTAAAAATGCAAACAATAAAAATATAAAGTAGAAGAAAAAGAGATGAATGAGAATCCTAATTTCTGGGTACAAACACCCCAGATTACTCAGTTCAGAAAATGAAGTTCTGAAATCTTAACTCTAAAGGCTAAGATGTAGACGATTACTATATTTCTCATTCCAATTATGGGTAGCAGGGCCATAAAACCTGATGGCCCTGACATTATTTAAAAGAAATAATGCAGGACTGGGGGTGCGGGCTCACACCTGTAATCTCAGCCCTGAGGGGAGGTTGACTGGGAGAATCACTTGAACCCAAGGAGTTCGAGATCAGCCTGGGCAACAAAGTGAGACTCTGTCTCTACAAAAATAGAATAAATTTTTAAAAATGAGCCAGCTGTGGTGGCACACATCTGTAGTTCCAGGTACACAGAAGGCTGAGACAGGACAGTATGAGCCAAGAAGTTCGAGGCTGTGGTGACCTGTGACAACACCACTGTACTCCAGCCTGGGCAACACAGCAAGATCCTGTCTCCAAAAATAATACCAATGAAATGATGCAGAAAACAAGCATAGAACCACTGCAGAGTCAGGCAAATCAGGAAATCCTACTGATTCTACCCGGCATGCATGTTTACTACCTAAAAGATCATCTTTCTTCTGAGAAATGCAAATGCCATAGCAACTTACCTAACTTACTCTAAATAGTTCTGCCCTCTGTGTAATGTTGTGACCACTACATCCAGAGACTAAACTCTATGGGGAATAGACTTCCCAGACGTGAAATTCTTCAATGAAGTGAAGAGACAGTTTTCAAATGGAAAACTGTCTGCAATTAAATTGCGGCCATCTTCCCACAGATGACAGTGTAAGTAGCAAATAATATGAATGCTGTCAGAGTGTTTAGGAAAAAAAAAACACTTGATAGCTGAATAATTAAAGCACCCATAACCATTTTTCATTTAAGTAACACATCATTTTTAACAGAGCTTTCAAGAGATGCTGATATCTTATAGGGCTCCTTGAAGCAACATTCCAACGAAAGATAAATCTTCCTGAAAGACTAAATATGAATTTTTTTAAAATGTGCTTGGCAAAACACTTAAATAGTTTTGAGGAACTCGGTGAACCTAAAATATGGCAGTTTCTCCATCCCTCCTGGTTTGAAAGATCTTACTGTTCCATATAATAATTTGTGTCTTTTCAAAAAAAGGAAAAAGAGGTCAATGTAAGTTCACCATGTGAACTAAGAGTAGTGCTAATAAATGTGTTTATGAAATAAAAATTTAATTGTTGTAGACCTAGCTCTTCCCACTCACTTCCTCATGTGGTTTTCATGAGGTAATTCTAATAAGTCTAGGAAGCGAGGCTTATTTCACAAAAATGCTATATATTTTGCTTTTTATAACAGACCAAGGGGATATGAGAGTAAACTCCATTTGTAAGAGAACTTGAAATAATCATGACATCTTCAATCAAAGCAAGCTGCTTTTGACTAAGACACACTAACTCAGGAATAAGGAAAAGTGGTGCCCCCACACACATTCTTGTGCTTTTTATTTTTATTTTTTTAGCAGAGTCTCACTCTATCATCTAGGCTAAAGTGCAGTGGAATCATCAACACTCACTGCAGTCTTGACCTCCTGGCTTCAAACAATGCATCCATCTCAGCCACCCGAGTAGCTGGGATTACAGGCATGCTGACCACATCCGGCTAATTTTATTTTATTTTTTTAGAGATGGGGTCTTGCTATGTCGCCCAGGCTGGTCTTGAACTCCTAGGCTCAAGCAATCCTCCTGTCTTGGCCTCCCAAAGTGTTAGGATTACAGATGTGAGCCACCATACCTATCTTCTTGTGCTTAATTTTTAACTTAAAAAACAGACCAGGCGCAGTGGCTCATGCCTGTAATCCCAGCACTTTGGGAGGCCGAGGTGGGTGGGTCATGAGGTCAAGAGATCAAGACCATCGTGGCCAACATGGTGAAACCCCATCTCCACTAAAAATACAAAAAGGAGCTGGGCGTGGTGGCGTGCGCCTGTAGTCCCAGCTACTCAGGAGGCTGAAGCAGGAGAATTGCTTGAACCCGGGAGGCGGAGGTTGCAGTGAGCTGATAACACACCTGGCGCCTAGCGACAGGGCGAGACTCTGTCTCAAAAAACAAAAACAAAAAAAGAATCTCAACTTCCATTTTTTAAGCACATCAAAACTCTAAAGCATCACTTTAACAACCTCAAGTCATATTCAAAAAACCCAATATTGAGTTATGGGGTTTTTCAAAGTTCCACTTAAGACTTCCCTTTTAATTTATCAAGTTAATGCATGCTGGCAAAGGATGCCGTAACCCAGCACAAGAGGAAGACAAAGGCTTCAGGAAATTCCAAATAGGAAAAGAGCAGGAGATGTATTCACATGGAGATTTGTTCCAAGTGGATCTGCCAGCAAAAGGGGACGGGAACCACAATAGGGCCAAAAGCCCTGCTCCCTCTCCTCCCCGCCCTCCGGGAAAAGTTAATCTAGTGGGAAGAATGGAATCTACAACCATGGAACCATGAAACCTGTCTTATGTTCTGCCTGTTTTTTTCCCCCAAATTACCTTTATTCCACAGTCTAATCATCCCTGCCCACTGTGTGTGTTCCTTTCATTCCACTTGTTTTTCCTGTTCTTACTACTTCCTTTTATTTTAATGTGCCACTCCTCTGAAGCCCTTCTCATTTCTTTCCCCTTTCGCTATTTTCCAGTCTTCCTGAACCATCACAATTGTCTTTTGTGCTAGGAACACATCATCCCCACCATGACCTGGTCTCTTCTGCCCTTTACTGAGCATAACACCTACATGGAAAGCTGCCGTCTTCTACGCAACTGGACAGAAGCAGCTGCAATCTGGAATGGGGAAGGGAACAGCAAGGAGAAGAGGTTTTTAAAAAGCAAATTCAGCACCACAGAAAAATGAGGAAATGTTATAGTCAACTATGGGGAGCATTTCACTCATTACTTTGTAAATTGCACGCACTGAGCTATTCCGTGGGTGCAAAGTCATGGCAAAAACCGCAATTACTTGTGCATCAGCCTGGTAGTATTACTGTTGTTTCCCAAGGACCCGTCCCACATCACACTTGTGTTAGCTACTCAATTCTTAGAATATCAAAGTCTCATTATGGCACCAAAAACTGAACTAGGGTAATAGAGTCAGCTACACTGGGTGTTTGGTTGAACTAATTAAATTTAAAATAAAAATCAAAACTGACCGTGGCAGAAAGCATGAACTATAATGAGCATATGCGCAATATTCACTCATTATCACATGACAATACTGATCACACGAAACCCAATTCAACACCCTGCTTCTTCCTACCGCGGTTTATGTAAAGATCGAGAACTCCTTTCCAGAGAAGGAGAGGCAACGACAAAAACGATGTTGCCACAGCAGCAGGAAATTTGCCAAAATTCCATCCCAAGTGCTGAGACTCTTTCAGCTAAGGTATTAACAGAAAGCGTTTCTGCCTTGACACACCTAGTAGTGACCTCCACGATGCCCCATAACCCCCACGATCTACTTACACCCAGTGCTCACCCCTTCCACGACACAGCAGAGCAGGTCTATGCAGCCCACAGAATGCGGAAGAGATGGTACACAAGTTTCAAGGTGTAAGGAAAAGCTGTGAAAGACTTGGAAATGTAGTGGGTTACCCAGTTAGCTCATCCATCTGGGTTATCCCAGATGTCGCTTAACTAATTGCCCTAATGCAAGGAATGTGGGTAGGGGAAAAATCAATATGGAGAAGTTGTTATCTGCCCATCGCCTCCAGCTCATGTCCCCTGCAACCCCCCTCTTTTAGCAAAGTTAGTTACAGTGGCTAATTTGCTGAGGGGGTTCAAACAGAATCAAGCTGGCCTGTCGCACCCCACTCCAGTGGGGTCCACGCAGAGAATTCAGGCCAGAGAGGAGACGGAGAAAAGGCACAGAGAGAGAATCGCATTTTATTCTTGCCCAGCATTCAGCAGGTTGTTTGTGGGTTGGCAATAGTCCAAGAACTTTTTGGGGGGAGTGGAAGCCCCTCTCAACTCTCCCCTATCTCAAGTCCTTGGCATTCACTATTACTTAACACTGACCCAGACTAAAGGATGTCTTGCCCAACAGCCTTCTGTCGGGGATGGCTGCAGGCTGCGGTTCTGCTAACATGACCCGCAGAAAGCAGTTCTCACAAGGAAAAAATGTCATCATCTTTCTTTACCAATACCACTACATTTTTAAAGCACTTAGTGTCTGAAAATGTACTAAGAGCTAGTGATAGTCCTGTGAAAGAGATGTCATTAATTACCCTATTTTCTACATACAAGGAGAAAATGAAGCCTTGAAAGATTAACTATCATGCCCAAGGGCACATGGTTCCCAAGGGGCTGAATTGAGACTAAACGAAGATCTGCTAGGTCCCGACTAGCACATATTTTGCTTCTGAGTACGGCACATTTGTGACGAAGACCTCTAACCCAGTTAAATTCAGAATTCAACTTAGCTAAATGAGAGAAATAACATATAACAGTTTCAATTCAATAAAATTGACGGTTACAAATATACCAGAAACAAACCGTATCATCACTTATACCTGCTGTTTAAAGGGTTCTTTGGGATGACATCTATTTTACCAACACGGGTTCTGATGTCATCTAAATGCCATTATGATCAGTTCCCAAGAAATCAAAAAGGCAGAGAAAATAACATGGGTTTACAGAGCTCAGTACTACATATGGTAAAAACTAATCAAAATTCTGACCTCCAACTTCTGGGGAACATTCATTTCAAAAGAAAACTCAATAATTATTTTTGCATGCTGTTTGTCTTTTATATGCAAGTGAAAAATGTGAAGCTTCAAGTATGATTTAATGGGTTAAGACTTCTTGAGATGACAAAAATGTCTCATCTTTTCTGTTGAAAGAATCACGTAGTTAACATCTTTAAAACATTCCAGATTGCAACAAAAATACAAGAGGGAAAGGGCAAAAGGCAAAAGACAGGATAAGTGATGTAGCTTAACAAAGACAACTGTATACTCCACTAATTAACAATTTGGGCCACCATGGCTTGCTCTTTGTTGAGCTCAATTTGCCTTTGCACTAGTAAAATCAACATCCCAGTGAGGCAGGAAAACATCATCATACAGGGGTCTTATAGAAAAATAAGTTATTCATAGTTTGATTTCTCCAGCCATGGGCCTGCAGGATAATAATGTCAAAGTGAGGCAGCACATGTTAATGAGCAGCATGCTCCTTATGAAACAGGCTTCTGTCCCCAAAACTATCTCCATCCCACACATAGACAGTTGCAAGGCATTAAAGTGTGCTTGGCCCCTAACTAAAGTCACTTAGAGGCCTCTGCGACTGAGCGATGGATCTGGCAGCCAATGCTTACGATGGAAGTGGCGACGGTTCATTGCTCAGTTTCCTGCCAAGAAGAATGTCTCATGTCTCTTGCATTCTGATCCAGGGGTCCCCACTGCCCTTTTAAAAAATAAAAGTTATTTGGGCTTGTTTGGACTATTTTCACT